ACAATTCATGATCTGCTGAATATGAGAAGTATAAACTTTGGAGTCGTTCCTGGGGGGTTCTCCAGCAGCTGTTCGCTCTTCATCGCTGCACCGTCGTGCAAGACTTATATTCCTGTTGTCTTGTGCAGAACACTGAAATCCTGCGAGCTCTGCAGAAAGCGTCCGGACTCTCCCCTGATGATGAACCGATCAAACTCCTCTCCGTCCCCAAAGGAGCTCTGGGTAACTAACACCAGCAATAAGTCCTACAGAGCAGGCTTTACTTAAATGTCATTCATTAGAGTGGGGACTGTGATCCACAGCCGTGTAATCAGGATTGTTTCTGTGCTTTTGCTCTTCCAGCTCATTCCTTCGTGCAGCGTCTGAGGCTGCAGGATAACTCCAACAACAGGAAGCAGAAGCTGGCTCAGTCCATCAGCAGGTACGCCGCCAACAAGCCACGAATCCTTTTTCACGATGTGGTCACAAGAAACCATCGCACTCATCAATGATTCACGATGCAAAATTCTTAGAAAGTATTTGAGAGTTTGTTTTTTTCCTCGTTTTAATCTCAGAGGATATTCAGGCTTATTTCTCAGGAATATTCTGAGATTAGAACAGAAGAACAAACTGAGGAGGCCGAGCTGAAGATGCTCAGGTCTTCGTTGGGAGGGAGGAGGATGGATCAGAGTCGGAGAGGCTGAGATGGTTTGAGCGTGTGCAGAGGAGGGAGGGTGGAGCTGGAGCTCAGAGGAGGTTCATGGATGTAGTGAAGGAGGACGTGCAGATGATGCGCTGTGGCGCCCCCTGGAGGAAGCAGCTGCAGGATTAGATTAAAAGAAAGTTGTGATTTATTCCACTTTATTTCTGAGTGCATTTCACAGACGTTTGCAGCTTTAGTCTGAGAGAATTTATTTATCTCATGAATGTATGACTTTCACCTTCCACCATCGACCCTCGGCCACATGTTTCTTTCCTTTTCCCCACCTGCACCTTCAGGATGCAGCAGATGAGGAAGGGTTCTTCAGGTTCTCCACCCAGGTGTTCTCCAAACCTCAGCCAGGTACTCGCGTCTTACTCTCTTATGTATTTTGGTTTTTCTCGGTGTTTCCGTTGTGGAGCAGGACGGACTTTAGTTCTGCTGCCGTTTCGTTGCAGGTGAATCCGGACAGGTGGAGGCTGAGGCGAGGAGAGACGGTGGCGGTCAGCAACCCCACGGGAAGCCTCAAAGAGCGGCGCCTGGCTCGCTCTCACACCCTGGACACCGGCGCGCACACGCCGGAGCGAACGCTGACTGTGGCTGACCCGACAGACGTCGCGTGCGCTCCTGAACTACCCGACGGCGCCGGATCTCTCTCCACCGACGCCTCCAGCTGCAGCACGGGCAGCGAGACCTCGCCGTCCACGCCGTCAACTACATCATCGCAGGTCGACGGCTCGGCCGACGTCCCGCTCGCAAACATCCTGTCTGCTCAGTCGGACCCCGAAAGCCAGACCGACCGAGATTTACACGCAGACTCTTCTGACGGCCGCCGTCGGCCTGGCGAGGAAGCTGAAGGCTTACCGTCAGAGCACGGGGATGAAGACTCCACCCCTTATCCCCTTAACCTGCCCTCCCCGACCCAGAGCGAAAGAGTCGAAGAGAGCAACGCCAATCAGCAGCCAGAAGCCAGCGCGCAGTGATGCAGGGAGCGTGGCGTGCAGACGAGCAGCAAGAAGACCGAAAGAAAAGCACACGAGACTCGTATCAACCAAACGTCCTCTCGCTGCAGCGCGTCGGGTTTTATTTGTCCCGCTCGCAGGTTTCTGCGTCCTCAGACAAACTGAAAGGGCGTCAGAGACGGCCCTGACTCAGAAACCTGGATCAGGTTTAACCCGCACAGGCTCGGCGGCGCTCGTCTCCCTTTTTACTCGTTAACATTAACTGGAAGCTGCGTTTCTTCCACCGACAGGTTTCTGAACTTTGTTTTTCCGATGTTTGAAAACTGCTCGGCCCTTTTGTGTGGAGGCGAGCGAGATCCGAACCATCCTCGCGCAGGGAACTCTTTACATTGAGCTCCAACACAAACATCTCAGCTAAGTTTAAAGCACTTTCTACTTCCAGCCTTCAGAGAAAAAGGGATGCAAGCTGCTTTCATTGCTGTTCGAATGTCCTCACTTTAGTTTGTGCTGCTGCTCTGTGACTTTTTTACTTTGGTTTAATCAGGATGATTTTATTTTATTTAGGAGCTCCGTGTGTCTCCTTGTCCGCTGCTGAACCTCGCTGCGAGCTTTTATCCAGCTTTTATCCGCCGGCTGTTTTCCAAATCAAAGTGTTTGAAGGATTTCCGTCATTTTACCGGCGCTGATGATGTTTGAGCGCCAACATTAAAACCGCCCCCTCGAGTGGAGAGTGAGCCACGTTTATAGTTTGGTAGAAAAACTGTATGTATCTGAATACTGTAAGGCTTAACCCGATGGGCGTGGCTTCTTTTGCAGAGAAGGTCACTGAACTGGACCTGTGGACTGTTTGTGCTCATCACAAACTCTCGTGTGACCATAAACTCATCAGGAAGTGTTACTGACTCGGTTTCCTGTACAGGAAGTCTTTTTGCGTCGCCCCCTGCTGGTCGTTAGAACAAATGCACCTTAACGCACTTCAGCGTTGACTTTCCTACGGCCATGTTTTTTTATGCTATGACGTCCGTGGTGATAATTTAGCGTTTCAGCCTCTCGGCCAAATCCGTGCACAAAGAAAATGTGACAGCGGCCACAAACGTGGCGTGCGAGCGTTTCTAAACGGTCTTTGGTCAGAAGTCAGAGCTCCATCAGCTCAGGTGGTTTATTAACCTTCAGTAAGGACGTCGAGAACCGAACCAAACTGTCGGAGCTTCCTCTTGATGCAAATGAAATCATGACATCATCGAACACAAACTGACTGAACGACTGAAACTACAACAAATCAGTCAGATTTTTATCCCTCTGTCAGATTAATTTCTGAGTTTCGGTCTCTGTACTTCATGAAACGGGTGTAGTTACCTGATGACACGAGCGCGTCTGTCCTGCTGTTTAATGTTTCATATTTGTGGTTTTGACGGTTTTACTCGAGTCGATTTGATGGTTATGAGCAGAGTGCTCATCACTGACACTGTTTCCTGTCGCCCTCACACAGGAACCACCTTTATGTTTGAACTTCGTCTGAGCGTCAAAGCCGAGTCTTAATGATGATGTGAATGTGCCTTATTTAATTTAAACCCAAATAAACAATAAACCTGCGATTTAGACAAATGACAGCTGGTGTTGTTTTTGTTTCTCAGTGTTGAAGCCGGTCTGTGCTGCTTTTCTGTCACGTTCTCATTAAGATGAGCTGATAATCAAACCAGACGGGACTTCCTGGTCCGAGGGCCCCGGGGTCCAGTGTAATTATTAATAATAAAGATTTAATTATTTTGAATCATTCAGAGCTGCTTGAGCAGGTTTGGATGGTTGGCCTCAAATATTTCAGGTGGAAATGAGCAGAATAGATTTAATCTGCAGAAAAAGAGTTGCAGATGATTAATGTGATTGTTTGGTTAATGAATTTTAAAAAGCAGAGATGTTTTAAATGAAAGGTGGCAGCTGCACCTGTGTTTTTCATTTAGCAAATGGAACAAAGTTCAGCTTTTGGCGCTTTGCACCAAATCATTTTCCTGCAAGTTTCAACAGGTGTCGTTACAGCGATGAAGGGAACAGC